TGACCTGACCCTAGGTCTTCTTTTCAACCTTTGAACTTCTAATTGTCACGAAACTTGGTACACTCCTTTCTTATCATGCTTGAAACTAAGATTAGAAAAGAAAAAATAACCTAACCTAAAATAGAATAAGAATGAACAAGGTACGAGCCAAATATGACATTCAAACTCCTAATGACCAAAGTACGATGATTATGACATTCAAACTCCTAATGAATGGGGACCTAGTCCTAGAATATGCATAAAATGCGAGTCACCAACAGACTAAACTTAAGCATCGTCCTTTTGCATATAGTACCAACAAGTAGCAAGTATACTACATCATACGTAATAAATCAAAAGCCCAATAAACATTGGATCCAACATTTCCAATCCAACAATCAAGTATTCCATACAATTAGGGGATGTTTGCTTGTTAGATTTGGGTCATGAATTTGGTACCCAAATTCCAAGGTTGATGAATTTAACACAAGTCCATTATTTGTCGATGGGTGCTAAATCCGCGGGGTCCACGAATTTGGTCTTTATTTTGGAACCAAATCCGTGGACCCCACGGACTTGTAAATCCCACATATTGGTTTGGGATTTGTAAATCCTTGATGCTTAGTTATTTATGTAACAAATTCATCACAAATCTACCATGCAAACACTAGACTTTTCAAATCTATAATCCAATAAATCCATCATAAAACCCAAGGTATTTGTTGCCCAAACCACTCATTTTTCAAATCCAACAAGCAAACAACCCCTTAGTTGTGCTATCTTAATGAACAGTAATCGTGATTTACCTTAATATATATATATATATATATATATATATATATTAAAATTCAAACAATTGTCCCTTCTAGCATGAGGTTAGAGGTTGGCAACTGGAACTGTTTTCTAGGACAATTGCTTGCCTAAAAAAATCCATGTAATAAAACAATTAGTCATTATTCCTCATGGTTGATTGTACTCTATGAACAATCATTTTTATATTTTACACGATCACCTTGACAAGGAGGATCACTGTTGTTGGAAGGTGATGCTTTAACAAAGGGGGGGAAAATACTCTGATGTGTTTTACATTATGCCAAAAACATGCTCGAAAACAGAGAACTTCATAGAGTGCAATATTACAAATGACCTAAAACTTCTTTTCCATATCCTAATCACTCAAATAATAAAGACAATAGGCAGATCAAAATTTGTACACCAACAGAAACAAAGTAATCTCCTACACATACAGCACTCAAAACATAACCGATTAGACACAACTAGAAATCTATATATGTGACTATATCTAACTGAAGTTCATATTTTCCCCCAAATCAGGAATCCCTGAGAGTCTGATCTCTTCTGTTTCACGGACTGTAGAAAGAAGGGCCGCATTTGCATTTCCAACTCTCAGGCTCATAATTAGCATAGCTCAATCTCAGGCCATGGATGTGGCTTCTGCTGGTTGTGGGCACTTCAATTGCTTCACATGGTGAGCACCCATAGCACTTGTGCTCACAGCTTGGAGGGCTTGATCCTATTTTCCCAAACCTTTTGAGTAATAAGCATACGGTTTTGCCAGGTAAACAAGAAATTACCTAATTTAAGCTCGAAGGGGTTCTGTATTCTGCTCCCAGGAAAGCCTGTGATGGTTGTTGATTAGTCACTGGTGAAGAAAACAATCAAAGGATGAGAGGATTGAAGGAAGTTTTTTTGGCCAGTGATTTACATGAAGCAGAAGAAAACAATAGCCGTGAAATGAGATAACTTGCTTACCTGGTTGATTAGCTGCAAGAGGCCTACTTGTGGAACATACCAAGTTCATTTGCAGAGCTAATACAAGAAGAAGAACAGAGCAAGCAATGATGGTTTTGGGATTCATGGTGGGTTTTAAGTAGAAAGAGAGGCAATCACCTACCCTCTTGACTAATGATGATGATTTCTGGACTGGAAATGATGGCCAACTTTGTGAAAGACTTTTAAAAGGAGATAGAGACAGAAGTGAAGGAAAAAAGGCAGCTGATTCTTAATGAATCTCTCATACTACAACTACTACTGTGCATGATTGCTTTGAAAGCTCTCTCTCCACATATATATATACAGAAAGGCATAAACTTTGAAACTAGGTTAAAAGAACAGTATTTTCCCAAAAGGAAAAACCCTTCAAAGAGCTCCCAAGAGATTTCTTGGGATTCTCCTAGTTTTCCTTCTAGGAGTAGCAGAGAGAAAGAGAGAGAGAGAGAGAGAGAGAGAGAGATTCAGATATTGCTTCTGAGACAAATGAAGTGATCTTTGGTTTCTTGTCTTCTTCACCTGACAACTCACCAGAAGGACCGACCTTGTTGTGTAGTAGAATCAAAAGGATATATAAATCTTTTCGCAATACTCTTTTCGTTGCTTAACCTTTGAAAAGAAGCCATCACTCTATTTCAGCTTAAAAATCCTTCTAGGGGTGTACTCCTATAGGCAGCACAGATGGTCCCATTCGGCACCCAAAATAACAACTCCCTATTTTAGGGGTACTAAAGAAAATACCTGCAAATGGCACACCACAAATCTTTCTTAGAAGATAACACAAAGAAAACAAATAAATAAAAGAGGTTCCTTTTTAATCTTTTAACACAGTCTAGACTGCAGAGCCACCACCTCTTTTCCCCTCTATTAATAGTTTCATTCCCATGAATGGGAAAAAAAGGTTTTGGGGATAAAGGGAAATCCAGTTGTAGTGACACATTTTTTCATATGTAATAAACAAAAATAAGAAAACAAAAAAGCCAATCAATGTCTGAGAACAATGCAGTACTACTACTGTCAGAACAAAAATTTAATTAGTTTGTTAATTGAAATAAATAGCCATGTACCAAAGGTCAACACCTTCCCACAAAGGTTGGTGGGTGGGAAACACTCTGGGTAGTAATTCTTTGATCTTCATCATATCAATCATCCAATCTGAACCATCCGTTTAAACCCACAAAAGGAAAATAAGATAAGAATATACATTTTTGCAACTTCATTGCTTTGGCTTCTTTCCCCATTCATCTTTCACTCTCTCCCTTTCCTTTCTCCTTCATTGCCCTTACATTGGTACATCTGTAACAGATGTGCACACCACAGACAGACACACACAAACTCTGACATTTACAATGAATAAAAGATTCCACTGACATAATAACATGATTACCAAATGGCCATCTAATATAGCAAATCATGCAATAAAAGATTTGTCATGTTTTTGTTGGGTTCTGTTGTGGGAAAATGGCAAGTAAATGAATGCACACCAGAAAGGTAGCAGAAAGCCATAAAGAACAAAGCTTCACTTGTTCTCGTCTCACCATTTTTTCATTGATTGGTCTTTTCCTGGATCTGCTGCTGAGATACAAAGTGGCTGATTTGGTAATGATTCTGTGAGACTGAAAGCTCCAGAAAATCAGCCATGATATAACTGGAACTGGATCATCAAGAATAGAAGTGAATTAAATACAAGACAAAAGGTTTAACATATGAGTGTTTAACGTTAAAACTGTTAAAACTGCACTCGAGAAAAAGAAGAAGGTAACTATTGCTGTGTAACACGTCCAGAAGTGTTGCTGCTATACATTGATATTTGTGTTGTCTTGATTAGAATGATTTGATCATTCATTCTGATGCAACCGTACAGTCCCAATTACAGGGACCCTATTCTTCTCACCTACAAAAGAAATTTCTTCTTACAAGCATTTTGTCTTGTGCCCATGCTTCCCATCAAAACTACCATTTGTCCAGACAAAAGAAAAACAACAAAAGACCATGGACCAGAATTGATCTACTTTGAACTTGGCCAAAAGAGATTGATATGGAAAAGAAATGAAAAAAGGACCCTAAACTATAGTCAGCACCTTTCACATCTTCATGACACCATATATTGCAACAGTAAATGCACTACACCTTTCTTACCTGACTACTGCCCACAGCCTACAAACCTATGCTATGCTGCAATTTCATCAGCTATGATTTCTTTGTGAATCAAGCAAGCAAACTTTGGAGTTTGGACGAAAGCACACAGAAAAAGAAATAGTAAAACAAAGTCTTATTCCCAAACTCCAGCCTCCAGTCAAAATGAGGACATAAATGCTTTATAACTTCCTCCCACAATATGCACTCTTCAGTGCACTCCTCCTTTGTAACTAATTAATAATAGTACTGCTCCATTATTGCTGCATTTCTTTATGACTTTGCCCTTTGTATGTATTGAATCGAAATGAAGTTCCCTTATATGATAACTGCTTGGAGACTCATCAGTTGTCAATTTTTGTGCCTGTGACGCCTGTCATATCAATTACTATTAAGCCTTCTTTCTGTTTTCTGGAAAGATGAAAATTTATTACACAGCTAATAAACAGTTCCACAAAATGAATCATATCTACAGTACAGGTCATGGGATGAAAATGCAACATGATGATCAAAAGACGGCGTCACAGCTATGGGGCAAGCATTGAACACAAGATCAACATATGCCCTGAGATCTGACGAAATGAATTTGATGAAAAACTGAGCAATTATTTTTATAATTTGGATGAAGAACTAATAGCAAACATCCATATAGAAATAGAGCATTGGTATCACAAGAAAGAAGAGCAATTACTACAATGGTGAATCATCATATTACAATCCATTCAGCAGATGTTTTCAAATGACAATGGTCATCGTTGAATGCACATTCTGATCAATCTCTCACCCTATACCCAAAGGATGATAACACAACCAAATATTTGTCAAACCTTCCAACTTCCATACTATTATGTGGAAGATGACTTGTGATGATCCTTCTCCTTCTTCGGATGAATTGTTTCGACGAGGGCCTCGATCTCCTCCTTTGCCCGCTGAAACACCCCTGGCCCTTTTACTTCATCGGCCGATGTGAACTCATCAATGTCATCGCTCGTTCCATGAGTTTCCTTAGTGTGTTTTGGGGAGTGGTTTCCTGCCTTGTCCTTCTTGTGAGCTTCCTTGGTGTGGGTTGGGGAGTGGTCTCCTGCCTTGTCCTTCTTGTGATGAATCGTCTCGACGAGGGCCTCAATTTCTTCCTTGGCCCTCTGAAATACTCCTGGCCCTCTCACTTCATCAATGGAGGTCTTCTCATCAATGTCATCGCTCGTTCCATGAGTTTCCTTGGTGTGAGTTGGGAGTGGTTTCCTGCCTTTTCCTTCTTGTGATGAATTGTCTCGACGAGGGCCTCGATTTCTTCCTTGGCCCTCTGAAACACTCCTGGCCCTCTCACTTCATCAATGTCTGTCTTCTCATCAATGTCATCGCTTGTTCCATGCGTTTCCTTGGTATGCTTTGGGGAGTGGATTACCTTGTCAATCTTTTCCTTAGCCTTCTCAATGAAGTTTGGATGCTTACCTTCTTCAATTCAAAAACTAATCAAATAAGTCAAATCCCATATGTCCAGATTGAAATTGCAGAAGCAGATTGAATCAAGATTCAGCAGTGCGTAATAACTGAAGCATAAAGGACCCCCATAAGCGTACGATCAGAATCATAATTGATGGCGATATAGAATATTTGTGAAAATGACTCACAACCCAGTTAAATACATCAGCAAAAGATAGGAATGATGTAGTACCAGTTGCAGAATGTGATTTGGTAGGCGTCGTTTCCGCCATTTGGAGGAGAACTCCTCTGTTGTTCTGGTAAACGCTTTAGTATGATGGTTGTGGTGGCTGGAGTTCTCTTAATCCGATTCGACGGCGGCCAATCACTTGAGTTTCGATGGGAGGAAAATGGCTGGCTGGTGGGATGTAGGCGATCAGGGGCGGAGCCAGGATTTGATGATCGGGGGGCCGGAGCTATATAACGTATAAATTAAAAAAAAAAACAAACAAAAAATTATTATAAGAAAAATTAATAATTTATTTTCTATTATTACAATGACACAAGGAAAACTATGAGCAAAAAATTAATCATGCATATTACCGTCTAGTATGTTTCTCTGTATTTTTATAACTGAAAAATGAATGTTCACAAGTATTATTGTTTGAAAAGAATGAATAACCAATATATAAATAAAATATTTATTAGAAATAATAATTCAGATGAAATTACTTGATCAATTTTGAAGTCACGTGACTTATAAACACAAATTAAGAAAGTTATATGATTAAATGCAATGATAAATATATAACTAAGAGATTCTTTAAAAATAAGGATTTAAAAGTTGAAGAAGTTACTTGAACTACTTTCAAAGCACTTGACATGTAATTACAAACTATGAAAATAATTGCCTTCGGTTACATCACATTAAGCTGTTCCTCAAGGCTCGAACCCAGGTTAATTAGAGAAACATGCAGTGTCATTTTCGCTAGACTGCCTTTAGATCCATGTTCTATAGTTGTACGCGACATATATTTATTAAACAACCTTCATTTTATACGTAATTTACCCTAAGTTCGATAAATTTTGTACGTGATTTCAAAATTCTTGGGGGGGCCCGAAAGCCCACCTAGCTCCGCCCCTGGAGGCGATCGAATTCCAGGCGATTTCTCGTTTTGTTATTCTTCTGTTGGGAAGCTGCTTATTCAGGGGAGGGAATATTCGGAAGGGAGAAGAGAAGGGGATGAAAGAAAGGAAAGAAGAAAGGAGAGTTCGGGCCTGGAAATTGGGCGTTTGTGGATGAAAAGGCCACATTCACATGTCCAATACGGGAGTGACTAACTAGAAGCCCAGGATATGCCCATTTGGGGAAGTCCATTACGACAAGGAGAAGAAGACAAAACAGATAAGGTTTTTTTTTTGTTTTTGATAAAACAAAACAGATAAAGCTGTTGTAGAGAGTAGTATTTGCATTTCAGCAGAGGGGCTGCCGGCTCACCTCCTGGTGACCGGCGGCAACCCATTCTCTCATTTTTCTTGCATGACTTCCTTTTATCTTCTAGCTTATGCTTTCTCCAACTCCCTTTGTGGAATATTTCCATCAATCTCTCGTTATTGAGATGGTTGCCTTCATTCTCTAATTTGTTTCACAGATCTAGAGTGCTTTTGCCTTGGTGTCAAAGGGGGGCGGGGTTTCATGAACTTTGCCTGTCTTCTCGTCTTCATCCCTTTCGTCGTGATGATCCGGAGATGCAGCGACCTTCCTTCGTGAATCGGTTCGGGGCGTAGTTTGTGGATCTTGAAGACGAAGACTCCTCTCTGGTTCCTACATCTTCCGTCTGTTGCTTTGAAGTTTGTTCTCTTGCCCATGTAAGTGGTGTTCGACTGATTGCGATGGCCTAGCGAAGAGGTTTCAGAGTAGCTTTCTCTTGCTTTGTTGTTCTGGATGCTACCTTTCCCACTTCCATCTAGGATGGAGGGCTCTTGTTGCTCCGTACAGCCATCTTCTGCATCCGAGCGGTTGTTCGTGGAGACTCCAGCGGCGGTGCAGTTTCCAAAGTTTGGTTGCATTTTATGTTAGAGTTTTTTTGGGTGCTAGCCTTCTGTTGGTCGAGCCCTTGGTGTCATTGGGATTTTGTAAGTTCTGTCTCACTTTGTTTGGGTTTGCCGGGTGGGCTTCCATAATCTACATCTACACGATAAATAAAAACCAAATGAGAAAACTTGAAGTCTCATTTCAAATTTCCTGCATCCAAAGCGAAAGTAGAAATAACATTTTGGTCTTCACAATTACTTTTTTTTATTCATTAAAAAGACACTTTTTTGTAATCTCAGTGACCAACCATGCAATTAACCTCAATGAATTCATTTACCATTTTATTTATCATTTTGCCTAAAAAAGACAGAAAACAAAGAATTCAATATAGTAATATGTCATAATTTCAAAAGAGACGATCCATTTCTAATTCCAATATATATCCGTTACCGTTACATTTATCAATTCAAGATTTCAAATTTCAAATTCTGTATTGTCATCCCTCTCTCTCTCTCTCCCTCTCTTTCTTCCTCGCTCCACCAGCAAACCGTCCTCGTTTACTTAGCCCTCGTCCTTTTTTGTCTTGATCTCCTACAAGCACATACACGCCACCCTGCTTCTCTCTCTCTCTCTTCCCCCCAAAAGCTATCTCTGCTCGCTCCTCTACGCTTTGACTACCAATTCATCAGGAACCCAATCCATTTCCAGGCAATGGGTGCTTCAGGGAAATGGCTCAAATCGCTGATTCCTCTCAAAAAGATCCCTTCTTCCGCCGCCGACCTCGTAAGCTCTAGCTCCGGAAAACAGAGCAATCTCTTAACTTTAATTTTTGAAACGAAATGGAGCACTAATTCTTCGTTTTCTTCCGTTGCTTTTTTTTTTTTTGGTTATCTTCAGGAGAAGCGAGGAGGAGATGGGAAGGGAGGAGGGAAGAAATGGAAGCTGTGGAGAAGCTCATCCGAAGGGTTTAATCATCCCTCGTCATCTGCTTCCTCTGCTTGTTCTTCTTCTTCTCCGTCCGTCGAGGGTTTCAAAAGGGTGGTTCAATCCGATGAGTACAACAACTTTACTTCCTTTTCAAACGACGACTCTTTCACCGTCGCCATGGCCACCGTTGCCAGAGCTCCGGCCAAGGACTTCATTGCGGTCAAGAAAGAATGGGCTGCCATCCGGATCCAAACCGCCTTCCGAGGCTTGCTGGTAAACTCAAAATGTTTTCAGTATTTAGTGCAAAGTTCAGAACTTTGATACTGTTTAGGTGGTCCTTGAGAGTTTAGGGCCTGTTAGGGTTATGTTGAAGTCCTTAACTGGATTTGCATGTTGCAAATTCCGAAATCTCTCCCATCAAGTTACTATTTCAGTACAATATGTAGACTTTGTGTGATTTCACCTAAACCTTCCAACAGAATTTGACTAACTTGGTTGCATGTTGAGACTTTAGGGCTCTAGTGGAGTATTGGGTTTCCAAAGCAGTGAAATTATTATGTTCTGGACTATCAAGTTGAAGTCTTTACTGGTTTTTGTTAGACAACAGTAGGAAAGTGTTCCTAAAAATTCTACTGCTCTCAAAGTTAACATGAATTGTGCTGTTATCCACCTTATATATGTGTGATTTGATTGTTATCTTTTAGGCAAGGAGGGCATTGAGGGCTTTAAGAGCAGTGGTTAGAATTCAAGCCATATTCCGCGGCAGGCAGGTTCGAAAGCAAGCTGCAGTGACACTAAGGTGTATGCAAGCTCTAGTTCGAGTTCAGGCTCGAGTTAGGGCAACAACTGTGGGAATGCCAGAAGGGCAAGCTGTCCAGCAGATGCTGGATGCTTATAGAAACCATGCTGATCCCACTAAGCAAGCTGAGGTAATTAATCAAGACCATAGATTTTGATTTACCAAACCGAAACAAATGCTCTTGGATCAATTGTCCCCTTCACATTGATATCTTGTTTGTTCCCGAATATTTGCAGAAAGGTTGGTGTAACAGTCCTGGAACAGTTGATCAAGTCAGAACAAAGTTGCAAATGAGGCTAGAAGGAGCTCTCAAGAGAGAAAGAGCTATTGCATATGCCCTATCCCAACAGGTAGAACATATCAATCAATTGGAAGGATATCATGGTAGTCGAAATCTCTTCTCTGGAGTTGATGATGAAACCTATGCTAAATTCGAATAGTGTACTTCAATAAGTATAAATCTAGCTGTGGTTCGAGTTTACTATTTTGAATTTACATAGGTTTTATACTTCATGCAAAATCTTAGATTGTCATATTTACCAAGTTGGAAAGCTTGTAGCTATCTCGTACTTTCTGCTTTTACATAACTCGTCGATTTAAAAGTTTGTTATAAGTTTTTGCTCCATATATGGTTGTTGGGTTGAATGTTTCAATCTTTTCGATGTTAGTTGCAGGCAGTGAAAACATGTCCAAGCCCGGGTAGGAAGACCGGCAGCAATTCTAAGCAGCAGCCAATCGTCCCCCCCAAGCATCATCAAAAGGGGGATGAATACAACCCACTCGGATGGACCTGGCTCGACCGTTGGATGGCAGCAAAGCCATGGGAGGGCAGGTTGATGGAGGAAAGCAGCAGCCACAGCCATGCGAGAGCTGATTCACTAGAGGTCTCTCCTACGCAACCACCACAACCACAACAACCTCTCTTGTCAAGAAAAAGTGCTGACAACATGTACACATCATCAACTTGCTCCTCAAAGCTCAAGCACCATGAGCCTCCTCCTTCCTTGTCGGTAAAGGTGAGGAAGAACAATATGAGCACTCGAGTCTCAGCCAAACCAACACCTCCCATGGTGGTTCATCATCATAATCATGGTACTAATGGCTCATCTTCAACCCTGAGTTCTGAGACACTCTACGAGGAAACCAGCTTCCTGTCAACAAATTCATCTACATCTGTTGATCAAGAACAGCAGAGTTGTAGCGAGAAGCAGCAGCAGCCGCCGAGCTACATGAGCCTCACGGAATCAACCAAGGCGAAACAACTGAAGGCGGCTACTTGGAGTAGGCATTGTAGCAATGCTGCTCTTCAGAGGAACCAGTTGATCGAGGAGGAGGAAGAGGATGATGATGAGTTATACTGCATGAGATCAATGCCACTGTCCAGAGATCTTTACCCTCCCATTCCACAGGGCAAGAAGACATTAGTATGAGATTCGATTCTGTTCAAAGTCAAGGAATTAAGGATGAAGAAGCTGCTTGTTGGTCTGCACTCTGCTGCATGCTAAGTCAAAAGTAGAATGAGTTCAACTTCTTGTTGCGCATGGAAAGGG